AAATACTCATTCTCAGATTATATAGCCCCACCCTTCCTATTAACCTTCTGAACCAATTAATGAAGTTTAATAGTTTTTGGCTCATTAAGTTCTATGAAATTCTACCCTAGGTCACAAAAATCACGTCTATCTATCTCTAATTTTATTTTATTTTATTTTTTTATTTTTTTATTTTTTTGTTTTGGTAATCCCGGCAATTGCATTGGAAAAAGAATAAAGAAACATGGGGAGGAGAGTGAAGTCTGTTTTACGCTAACACCTTGGACATGCCCAATGGAAAGCTAATCAAAGAGGCCAAGGACTAAAAGGATATACAATCCTCTACATACAAGCCCAATTAAAAGACAGGCCTTAACAAAAAGCAAAACAATATTTATACAAGGCCGTATTGCCCACAAATGGACCTGTGCACAGTCCCTAGCAAGAGTCCAAGCAAAATAAAAATAAAAGATAATTCTACCAGCCCACTCAACAGCCCATTGAGATGGCCCAACAACCTGTCCGAGCAAAAGATCCACACAGCCTGCCCATCAGCCGAGAATTGCAAAAGGGAGCCCAAGGAGAAACAAGAAACGGGTTGACGAAACCGGCCCAAGCGTCTGTATCATTTAAATTTATGTGATTTTTTCTAATTCTTTTTTAGCAAAATTTACGTGATTTTAAGTTTAAGGTTTGTATTATTTAAAACTTAAAAATTTTATTAGTTATTTTATTTTGTTTTTAATTTAAAGTGATGTGTTAATAAATGTTAGGGAACTAAGTTTTAATTTGCAAGGGAATTAGGGTAAAAAGGTAAATTACCTTCTTCCTTTAGCAAAAAAAAATTGATGGAATTAATGGAAAGGGTAGTTTTAGCATAATATTTTGATAGTATAAGGGTGTTGTGTGAGGAAAAGTGTCAAACTTGACATGTGCATTTAGTTTCAAAATACACAGGGTAGAATGTGAAATATACTGTAATAACATTCCCTAATTTAATATTAATGTCGATGTAAAAATTAATATTAATTTCTAAAGGAAAAGAAAGTTAAAGAGAAAAAAAAAAATTTCTTAGAAAATTTTTCCTAGGAAAATGTAATGGAAAAGAAAGAATTTTTATTTTTTTAGGAAACTGGGAAATAGAAGAATTTTTGCTTTTAATTTGGTAAGTTGTATAAAAGGGTAAAATTTACTTTTACAAATAGACTAGAATATATATATATATATAGACAGTAAAATCTCTCTATAGTGATATTCTATATAAGAATAAACTCTACATAATCATAAAAAAATTTATTCCTAATTTGGGATAGTTATAAATAAGAATAAACTCCACATTATAATAAGTTATAATTTTTTTAATTCCCGTCTTAAGGAAAGTTACCTCCACATAGTAATAATTATCTGTATATTGAAAAAAAAATATATACTACCTTATATTAAAGGTTTAAGATGAAATAAAATATTTATCTAAAATTGTTTGCAAGAATGATTTATGTTTTAGATTTGTTACCACATCTTTTAACTTACGGGTATATTATCCGCTAGCATGAATATCTTCTTGTTGAAACCAAAATATTTCTAGCTTCTCAAGCATGTTTAGAGCTTATTGGCACAAAACTTTTTGTATTTCCTTACTATCATCTTCATGATTATTTCTTTTCTCTTTGTGTCTAATTGCAACAATGATTTCTTTTTCAGTTATAGTATATATGACTTGTTGCTCATTTGAATGATTGAGGAAAACATTAATATCCATTCGATTAATGTAGTAAAGTTGTTGAATCTGTTCACTCGATTCTACAATGATTCTTTGATTCTCCTTACCCACTTTATTTGTAACTTGCAATTAATCGACATCGGGAGTCTTAGTTTTGTAATGCTTAAAACAATTGGCAATTGTCTATGGCTTCACATTAATTTGACCATGTAGCAATTGCATTTACAATTTCATTAATGGCACTTATCTTTGTTGGTTTCAAGACACAATCTTCTATCTGTTTCAAAAGTAGGCAATTGAAGCGCTGAATTGAAATCATAATATTATACCACAAAAACATGAATTATAAAATAAGAAATTTTTGTAACTACACCTCTATTAAGTTATAACCTCTTCATAGTAATAAAATTAGTCAATCTCACCATTATTACTATAGAGAGGTTATATATATATATATATAATGGAAGGGTAAAATTGACTTTTATAAATATATAAATATAATGGATGTAATCATAAATTTTATCTGACGACAATAAAGGTGTATTGAGCTGATAAGTGCTTGAAAATACATATATACTTAGTGGTTTATAAGTATTGTTTGTGGAAAATTAGGGTTAATTTGCATGAATTAACTTAATTATTTCATAAATGCACTTTTCGGGATCACGGTATTTTTGTTGTGTCTTTTAGGGTATAAATGCTTAAAAATAATATTCGAATAAAGAATGATGTTGGCGAGAGAGTTTGTAATGACTAGAAACAAACGATTCAAGCATCGGGGAGTTGAAACGAGGAAGTTGTGACGTATTTAGCATGACATACAAAATCTAGAAAATGCTTGAGTTTTGAGCATGCTTCAGTATTTCCATGATAACTTGAGTTGTAGACCTTGTATTGGGAAGATTCTTGGATCATTGGAAATCTGACTCAAAGGGCTACAATTCTATATTTATGAATTCTTCAGATTCTGCCGTTTTCATGTTCAAAATTGAGGATCTTTTGGCATGGCAGCATGAACTTTCTGGTGTTGCCGCACAAGCTCTGAAGTGCAAACTTCATGAAATAGTCAATGCTGTAGCATGGAATTTTTGGCTCTACAACGTGGCGCTGGAATCCTATTTTTAAAAGAATTCCACCTAAGCCTAATCCAAATTTTATTCTCCTATTTTGTATAAGATTTTTCCCATTACTTTCCCAATACCCTATCACTATAAAATGATGTCTTTAGGTATTTTTGAAGAAGGAGAGGCTTCAACTTTGAGCAAAGGAGATCTTACCTAGGTTTTTCATCTTTTCTCTTGTACTTCATGTTTTTTAAGGGTTTGAGGTTTGATTTCTCTATGTTTATGTGTAACTAAATTCTTTTTTAGGGATCCAATGTAACCTAATATAAAGGTTTTATGTCTTTATTAATTCTATTTGTTTAATCAATCCAATGCAATTTTAGTTTCATTCATTGTTCTTTATTCAGTCTTTAATTGATATTATTGTTTGAGCACCTTTAATGTTAATTAATTGATTATGTGAGACAAGGTTATGTAGACGCTATATGCCAACTTTGAATAGCTCTTTTGAATAAATGATTTGTGTTTGTGTGCACACCTTGTCGGATGCGAATTGGTTAATTGTTATAAGTGCTTCTTGTTGTTAATGGGTTTTTAATTATTAGATTAGACTACACACTATAGCTAGCTAGTTTAGTGTTAAAGATACTAGATAAATCCAGATGCCAACCGGTAATACCTTAATAATGGAAGTACGAACCCTAAAAATTGGATTGAGATAACAATAGATTAATTATTGACATAAAATTGGACTATTATGGTGAAATTGGATATCTGGGTTTAAGTTCATTGGTTTTTAATTCATTTGATTTTTTTTTTTGATAGTTTTTATTTTATTTTATTTTAGTTATTAGTTCTTTATTTTACTTGAATTTATTAGTTTAATTAAGACATAATATATTAGGATTAATTGAGTGCTTACAAATCTCTGTAGGATCAACCCTTGCTTTTGCACACTATATTGTGATATCAAGTTGTGTAATTGCGAAAAAATAAAATTGTTCATCACAAGCCGAGTCGAGTTGAGCTGAGTATTGAGAAGTTCGAGCTTGGTTTGGCTAGAATAGTCGAAGCTCGACCGAGCTTCAATTGTTGAACTCGAGCTTGATAGATATATGGTCAGCTGGAGCTTGACTCGATTACAACTAAGTCAAAATCGAGCTTAAGCTCTGACCATTTTGGATAGTATTCTATACGAGCCCCTATATATTTGAAAACCTACAAACAAATTTTGTAATGCCCTACAGGTTTGAAAATCTGCAATCTGGCTCCTACAATCAGGATTTCTTCCTCTCTTTCGATGAAATCCTTGTACTATCAATGTTAGGCACCTATGGCATCAATAATGTGAAACCACCCATCACTTTTTTCTTAAGGCCAATCTTCATACACTAACAACAAAGAAAGAAAACCACACATCTTCTTCATTCTCCACAAAATTTTCTTTTTCAAAACCACCATAACCAAAACCATCACTTCCGACAATCAAACTCATCACTTTTAAACCCATGCAAGCAACCTCACAAGTTGTATAGGAACAAAAAATGACTTTTTTTAATTTTAATTTTAGGGAAGAAAAAGAGGAGTAACCGCAAATTGATTTGGGTTTGTAATTTAGGTGACTAAGTTGGCGATTAGTAATTTTAGGAGTGTAATCAACGAAGAGGAGTGAGCCAACTATCGGTGGAGTTACAGAGATTAGGGTTCGAAACTTCGAATTTTTATTTGTGCGACTTTGCAATTTGACATAATTTAGAAAACAAAATGGTAGATTACAGAGACCTCCCTAAGATTTGCAAAACTTTCATCTGGATCTCATAGGGTTACAATATGTCGAGCTTGAGTAAGCTCCCAAGCTACTCGAGTCGAGTATTGGGAAGCTCGAACTCTGCTCGAGTCTACAAGCAAGCTACTCAAGCCGAGCCTAAGTAGGTCGTGAGCGGCTTGGCTTGGCTCGGATTACACCCCTAGAAGACGGGAAGGTTTTTCATATTTTTTGAAAAGGGGTGTGCCACTTGTCAATTAACAATCCTTTAGGGACCAATAATGAAAACCATGATATTATATCTGAGGTTTTTGGTATGGGTAAGCCCGGCCTGGGTCTATGTGCTTTAATTTTTTGTCCCGGGCCGGGTTACATCTTAAGATACACAACCCGGATAAGCCCAGCCGCGCCCGAGATGTTACTCACTGAACGACTTGTTATGACCACCGTAAAATTGCCCTGGAATGGGAAGCCTAGCTTCCTCGCATGCTGCAGAGTTAGTTGAAGAGGACATTAACTGCTTCACTTCTCTGACATGCTTCTCCACAAAACTCATCATTTCGTCAAACAATTTTCCACTTCTATCAATTGGAGAAGACAAATCAAACAAACCCATTTGGTCCACCAAATTTCATCCATTCTCTTACAAAGAAACAACTGGACTTCTCTTCTGCAGAATCTCAATCTCTCCTCCAAACTAACCCCTTCTATCTTCCTCCAAATCCTTAAAAGAACTCAAAACAATCCACAAATGTCTCTCAATTTCTTCAATTGGACCAAAACAAATTTGCACTTCAATCCTGACCTCAAATCCCAATGCCATATCATCCTACTAGCGGTTGGGTCAGCTCAATTGCAACTTGTAAAACCCATCTTGGATTCTTCAATCAACTCGCACTCTGCAACAGTGTTTACTCGTTCCATGATTGAAGCTTGTAAAGGTAGAGATTCTCAATCTGATGCTTTAAGCTTAGTTCTTGAATGTTATTCAATTAAGGGTTTGTTTATTGATGGTTTAGAAGTTTATCGAATGATGAGAGTTTGTGGATGTGTTCCTTTTATAAGAGCATGTAATAAGTTGCTTGATGCTATATATAGAGAAAACCAGATAAGATTGTGTTGGTGTTTATATGGTGCCATGATCCGAGATGGGATTTTGCCAGATAAGTTTACTTGGTCAGTAATTGCTCAAATTCTCTGGAAAGATGGGAAATTTAACATGATTTTAAGATTGTTGGATTTGGGTATTTATAATTCATTCATGTATAATCTTGTTATTGAATTCTATAGCAAAAGTGGGGATTTTACAGCTGCATTTGAGAGACTAACTGAGATGTATGATAAGAGAAAAATTCACCCTGGTTTTAGTACTTATAGTTCAATACTTGATGGGGCTTGTAAATATGAAAATATTGAAGTGGCTGATAGGATTATGGGGATAATGGTAGAGAAGACAATGCTTCCAAAATGTTTTGTTTCCGGAAATGATTCTATTATTCAGAAGCTTTGTGATTTGGGGAAGACATATGCAGCTGAGAAAATTTTCAAGAGAGCTTGTGATGAGAAGATCGATTTACGGGATGATACATATGGGTGTATGTTAAGGGCCTCGTCTGAAGAAGGAAGAGTAAAGGAAGCGATTCACATTTATCAATTAATTTTGAAAAAGGCTATATCTGTGAAAGACAGTAGTTATCATGCATTTGTAAATGCTCTTTGCCAAGAAGATCAACCTGGGGGGGTACGAGAATTGTTAAGGGATCTCATAAAAAAAGGATATAGTCCTTCTGCGATGGAATTGTCTAAATTTGTATCATTACAATGTTTTGAAGGAAGATGGGAGGAAGTAGAGGAATTGTTGAATGCGATATTTGAGAAAAATGTATTGCTTGATTCTTTCTGTTGTTGCTCCTTAATGGAGCATTACTGCTCCAGTGGTCTGATTGATAAAGCTTTTGCATTGCATGCTAAGATAGAAAAATTGAAGGGCAGTTTGGATGTAAAAACATATAATGCACTTCTCGATGGGCTTTTTAAATTGAAAAGGATTGAAGAAGCAGTAAGTGTGTTTGATTACATGAACAAACTTAATCTGGTGAGCAGCTCAAGTTTTGGGATTATGATTAGGGGGCTCTGTGGTGTAAAGCAGCTGAAAAAAGCCATGAAAATTCATGATGAAATGTTGAAGATGGGTCACAAACCCGATGAAGCAACATATAAAGGATTGATTTCCGGATTTAAGTGATAGAGTATAAACAACTGAATGAAAAAGATAATCAGGTTGTACCCAATTTTTGAGAACATAAATCTTGTTTATACTGCAACTTCAGCTATTTATTGAGGCCAGTTGAGTTACAGCAACCGTTCTTATATCATTTGGCAATTTCTTTTCCATTTCTTCTTGTTCTGGATACAGTTTAGCAGTTGAATCATGCAATATTGCTACAGAATTATTTTAACTTCTTTTCAATTATGGTTGCTGCTTCAGTACTTCTGGAATCTATATTGAAATTTTAAAATTGGGTTCTTAAGTTATATGCGTGAGTGGAAACATGATATCAGAAATTAGTGATGTTAACTATGTGTTCTTAGTACACTATTATATTCAGAATGATATAACATTATTTATAGATATATATTATTTGATTATATTAACAACTATAACAACGTTAGATAGCAATTGGATGCAAATTTAAAACTCTTGACATTTTTTATGTATTTTTTCCCAATATTTTGATAGAAATGAACTCTGCTGCTTGACAGGGAATCCTCATGTATCATAACAAGAATGTTTGTATGTCTTCCGTTTGTGTATTATTCAAAAAAAAAAAAAAAAAAAATAATAATAATAATGGTGTTCAAAATCGGTTAACCGATTTTGTAGATCGAATTGGTTTGTCGGTTCAGGAATTTTCTTGAACTGAAACTGAACCGGTTAAGGGGAAAACTAGTTTTCATATTCTCTCAAATCGGTAATTGAACCGAAAATTAGGTTTTTTATTTTCTTTGAGTCGAAACCGAACCAGTTTTTTGGATAACCAAAAATTTGATTCGGTTACCGATTTAGTTTGGTTTCTAAATTTTTTTTTTCTCAGTAATGTTGCCGTTACACCATGTACACAATTCTCTTTATTCATGATGTGACAGCTGATGTGGTGTTGTCACCTCATTTAACATGTCAGCAAGTTACCACATGTCAGCAAGTTGCCACATCACTTCCCCAAATGTATTTTTTTATTTTATTTAGGAACCCTAATTTTTCCCCAAATTCAAATCTCCTCCCAAAATTCATCTGCCATAAATTTGCAAACCAAACCATAACCCTAACCCATTTAGCAAAATCCATTTAGCCCCCACCACCTAAAACCTTGCCGTCGCAACTTCGCTAGAGTTGCTGCTGCCGTCACAACTTCGCCAGAGTCGCTGCTGCCATCGCAACTTGCAACTTCGCCAGAGTTGCTGCTGCCATCGCAACTTCGCCAGAGTTGCTGTCGTAGCCGTACGCTAGGACACGACCTAATTGTAAAATTCTGCAAACAAGTCTGAATGGCAATGTGGTTATTGAAGGTCAGTTTTGGTTGTTGAAAATCCAATTTTGAAGTTGTATTGTGGTTATTGAAGTTCAGTTTTGAAGTTGTGTTATGGTTATTGAAGGTTAGTTTTGGTTGCTGCAAATCCAATTTTAAAGTTGTGTTGTGGTTATTGAAGTTCATTTTTGGTTGCTGCAAATCCAATTTTTGTGTTACTAAAGTTGTGATTGGATTATTGAAGTTCAGTTTTGAAGTTGTGTTGTGGTTATTGAAGTTCAGTTTTGGTTGCTGCAAATCCAATTTTTGTGTTACTAAAGTTGTGATTGGATTATTGAAGTTTTCGATTTTGTTGCTGCAAATTGTGTTTGCGTGTTTTCTTTTTTTTTGGTTACTAAATTGATTTTGTTGTGTTGACTATTACGCAATTATGGCTGACTATCTAACTTGTCTTTGAATTGTGGCCCTTGGTGGTTGTATGGGACTTTAATTTGTTCTTGGATCCCATGAAGAAAGGTGGCTGCCCCTCTTTTCAACTGCTTGCAGTGCTTTCAAACAAATGTCTGATTTGGTAAATTGATTCATCTTCACACCATTGGAGCTCCCTATACTTGTCAGATGGTTGAGAACTCGTGGTCATTGAACTCGTCTGGAGAGTTACTGAAGTCATTTGGTTATTAAAGGATGTTGTAGCAGAGAAGATTTAGCTAATGCAGAGAATTGCTGTAGAGAATGTGCTGCAGAGAAGTTAAGCTAATGCAGAACATATTTTTTTTGTTTAAGATGTTGCATTACTGAAAACTGGAAAAGTTAGAAGATGTTTAGTTTGAGGGGGAGTTAGAATAAAATGTAAATGAAGTTAATTAGTCTTATAAAGCCTACCTTGTACAGTTTTATTTAGTTGAAAATCATTCTTGTTTTCTCTTCATAAGTTTTTCTTTGTTTGACCCCACGAAGCATAAGAGATAGCCAAAAGGTTGAGACAGCCATGATGGTCCTGTATTTTTGTGGATATACTGACTGCTTGGGAATGGTATCATTTGGGAATGTTCTTCATCATTATGCCAAAGAAAATAGTTTCTGTTAATCTGTTAGTGTATGCATTTGTGCTTTAGATTGCTACATTTTGCAGAGTCCATGATTTTTGTGCAATGGTGCAAATTGGTAGGTGTTGGAAATGAAGCCTGGCATGTTGTAGTTTTTGCACTGTGCAGATTGAGCAGGTGTGAGAGTTTGAGTTTTGTTCTGCAGTTTCCAAAGTCTAGGCAGTATGTGCAGGGTGGTGTGTGCTAGAATTGAAGTAGTGATCTGGACAGTGGTTTGTATGGAGCGACATCGTGATTGCTGCATTTTCTGCAGTTTTGCTGGAGTCTTCAGTTTGGTTGTCTTGTGTTTGTGTTGCTTTTGTGTATAAGGATTGTATATCCTTGCTTGGTTTGTTTCTTTTTGTGTAGTTTGGTCCCTTTTAATGTATTCCTTGTATTTTATTACAAGTTTCACTCTTGGGGAGATACCCTAGTTTAATGATTCAGTTGTAATTTATTCCCAGATTGCTTGTAATGAACAAGTTGAGCCTTATGATAATGTATAAATTTCACATCGTTATTATCTGTATAAATGCACATATATTATGCATGGATGGTAATGTAGAACAATGTTGTCTTCACCTAAAGGACCAAAAACAGGCAGTTTTGGTCAATTAGTATAACAATTTTTTTTGGTAACTTGTAATTTTATAACAAAGAATAAAGAATATCCCACAAGAAGAAAGAAAAATGAAGCTGCATGCCCCTACTCACAAGTAGGGCTACAACGAACCGAACAGTTCGCGAACGTTCGTTGTTCGTTCGATTACTGTTCGATAATGTTCGCGAACAAATGTTCGCGAACAGTTCGATAATTGTTCGATATATGTTCGATCGAGTTCGAACAGGGTTGTTCGTTCGATTATGTTCGCGAACACTATATGTTCGACTAATTCATCCGTTCGCGAACAATCCTTCGATTGTTCTTTCGTTATATTTCGAAAAACATGTTATGCATTTTATAATTTTTAAAAAAAATTCCATTTTTATATTATGTTTGATTGAGTTTGGATGAATTTTTTTAATGGTAATCAATATAAAATATTATGATACTTTTGTTTTTCTTATAAATAATATGTTGGGATTTTTTTTTCCAAATGTCATCAATAATTAAATATATAAATGTATAGCATTTTAATTAAAAAGTAATAAATTACTATGATCATAGCATGACAATTTAATAACATAATAAATTGTATAATCAAGTGATAATAATATAGTAAATCCAATAACATAATAGCTTCATATTTTCTAAATGTAATCATATTAAATATTATAAGATAACATTTCAATTAATAAATAATAAATATAGTATGGTAAATTGATAAACATAACATATTGTATAATCAAGTGATGTATATCATACCAATTTAATAATATAATGTTTGATTAAACCTAAATTAATCACACATTTGTATGATCACATATTATAATAACTCTCATCACTATGAATTTATATGTGTTGGTACAAAATAAATATGTAGACTAATGATATAATATATATATAATTAATCACACATATGTATTGATCATATATTACAATAGATTTTCATTTTACTCTAAATTTATGGGTGTTGATACAAAATATATATGTAAACTTTAAAATATTTATGATATTTATGTAATGATAATAATATATGATAACCTATAATTTTGGTATTTCATAACATATTTAACCTATATTAATATATGTTGATAATAATTTTGTATATACACAATTACCATTATATATAACAAATTAATCACACATATGTATTGATCATATATTATAATAGGCCATCATTTCACTATGAATTTATGGATGTTGATACAATATATATGTATGTATGTATAACAAATTAATCACACGTATGTATTGATAATATATTACAATGACTTTCATTCCCTATAAATTTATGGTGTTGATACAAAATATATATGTAAACATTTAAAATATTTAGGTATTTACAAATTAATCACACGTATGTATTAATTATATATTACAATGACTTTCATTCCACTATAAATTTATGGGTGTTGATACAAAATATATATAAACTTTAAAATATTAAGATAATTTATGTAATGATAATAATATATGATAAACTATAATTTTGTAATTACATACATATTTAACCTATATTAATATAGTATGATAATAATTTGTATATACACAATTACACATTATATATAACAAATTATCCACATTTTTATGATCATATATTAAATAGGCCATCATTTCACTATAAATTTATGGGTGTTGATACAATATATATTATATATATTATATATATATAATATATTATATATAATATATATATTATATTATATATATATATATATAAATATTATATATATATAAATATATATATATATATATATATTATTAATTAATCACACATATGTATTGACATATTACAAAGACTTTCATTCCACATAATTTATGGGTGTTGATACAAAATATATGTAAACATTTAAAATATTTAGGTATTTACAAATTATCGAACGAGTTAGTCGAACAGGTATTTACAAATTATCGAACGAATTAGTCGAACAGTATTTATAATTATCGAACGAGTTAGTCGAACGAGTTAGTCCGAACAGGTTAGTCGAACGAACACGAACGAGTTGCGAACGAACACGAACGAGCTTTTTGTTAATCGAACGACACGAACACATCCTGTGTTCGTTCGAACACGCCACGAACACGAACAATCGAACATGCTTATCGAACGATTTTCGAAGGGGCCCGTTCGAAAATGTTCGGTTCGATTGAGGCCTACTCACAAGAGGGATGAAACAAACA